TTTCCTTCATCAATATTGTAGGTAATTAAGTTATTGAAATTTTGGCTCTTACCTGATGCCAAAACAGCTTATATAACTCTAGAAAATTCTGAAATACTGAACCTTGTCCATATTTGTTATTAGGATTCTTCCTACTCTAAGTGTATTACTTCCATTTCTCTCTTCTACTTGTATTAATTCCATTAGCATCAATTTAGGCCCTAGAAATGATTTTATAACTCAAAGAACCATAGTCTTGAATTTTAGAATTTTAGGCTATGAAGGAGGTGAGATTTTAGAGGTCTAATATAATTGGAATTAAGGATTTAATAGGGGTATTTAATTGGCATGTAGGAGGCTACTTAGAGGTGCAAAGAGGAGACCCAAAGACTTGATAGATTATTTGATCAAGAGTTACTCTTCACCAAGTTACAACATAAGGTAAGGGGTATGATAATTTTTATAATTCACTTTTGCTTGAAATAGCATTCGGAAGAAGTCCCTTTACTTCTAAGTTAATTAGAAATTTATTTGGAATTATTTGAATGTTATTTCTATTTTTGATGAATTTTTAAAGTTTTAAGATTATGTGAATTTTATGGCTTCTAAATGGAGCAACTTGAGTGTATGGAACCTTGTATGATTATAAGACATCCATGAATGTTGTTTGAATCGATTGCTTAATCATTAGTAATTTTATATGATTTATTGATGAATTTAGATTGAGAATTAACCTATTTCTATGTTTAGTATTATGATAATTACTTTAAATTGATTATTGAGATATATTGTATGTATGTTATGAAGCATGATAAGTAGAAAATTATTGTGGAATGTTTTTGTTAAGATGGATTAGCATATAGAATTGCATTGTATAATTTGGTGGAATGGAGGAAAGATGTGAGAAATGAACTATGTGAGAAAGAAAACTATTTTTTTTATATATTAAATTGAATTTTATAATTTAATTATGAAGTGAATTTTTATATTTTTATTTAATTAATAAATATTTTTCAAAAGTATTGGAATAATTTTGATCTAGGAGAAAACAAGTAATTGTAAGTGAAAATGAATTTTTAATAATTTTGAGGAAATTATTTGCAATTATTATTATTATTTAAGAAAAATAAATTAAAATTGAGAAAATTATGATTTTGAGTGATGATGAATATGATGAGGTGGAAGGATGGTTTGGTGAAAAGTAGAAGTGTTACGAGGTCGTTTTTGGTTATTTTGCAGGTGTTAAAAATTTTGGGAATGTCCGATTTACAGGGAAACTCGTCGATTTTTCTTAAGAAATAACCTAGTATTATTTTGAAGAAGTTAAGATGTGATTTAAGTATAATGAGGTGAAACAAATTTGAAAGAGTGTGAAGAAGTTATGATAAGTCATGCATCATGTTCATGAGTCGGAGATTGAGTGTATGAGGAGGATATGGAAAATCGGGGTCGGTTCCATGCTAACCTCGGGGATGATTGAGTGTGATCGAGCTCATATGTGGCTCAGACTCGCTACCTTAGCTGTGAGACTCTCACTACCAAGCTTGATTATCCTGACTAAAGCCCCAGGGTTTCTCATTATCAGTTGAGCTGGAAAAGTAATTATGAGTATACTACCGCGAGGCGGTGAGATGTTCCAGTGAAACTCCTGATCCTTCTCGAAAAAAAAAAGAAAAAAAAAAGAGAAAAGAGAAAGTGGTTTTGGGATCCCCATGGTCTTGCATACTAGAATGTGTCCTAGAAAAGATTAGTGGATACATTGCATTCATAATATCATATCATTTGTGTGCTGATTACTAGTATGTTTGTATGTGTAATTTCTAATTAACTCAATGTTATTTGCATGCTCTAAGTGAATATAAAGTTGTCTTACCCTTTCTGTGCATATATTGTTATTATGAAATGTTTGCATAGGTGACGTTGAACACAACTCATCCCCGGTATCATCTCCAAGTAAAGTTTAAATACGATCACTGCAAGTACTAAGTAGAGGACTTGATCGGACACCACTACAGTGCTACAAGAGATACTTCATTTTAGTGGACGTACAAAATATATCTCCTTTTTAGTTAGGTTGTATAGTTAGTTTGTCTAGTTAGTTTGTTTGCTCTGGTCTTGTGAACCCTTGTTAGGTGTATTTTGGATGACTTTATGTATATTTACTATCTAGTTATACTTGACACTTATGAATGATATGTATATTAATCACTAAGTGTATGTTCTAATTATTGTGTATTTTACTTCTACAAGAGTGTATTGGTAATCAAATACTAAGAGGAACCAATAATAATTAATAAATCATAATAAAGTGAATGTTGGTATTAAAGGTGTCACATGACACATCAGAACTCTTCATTTGAAGAGCTCTAATACCATGTTACGAATTTGAAGATAGAGAAAAACAAAAATCATAAAAATTGAAGTTTGCATCTTTAATAAGATGTTATGCAAAGAGAAGACATAAAAGAAAAAAAATAATATTATTTGGTATATTATATATTATAGGCAAACATTGCAAGATACGTACTTATAGGTGAAAAAAAGACAAATAAGGAAAAAATAAATAAAAAAAAGAATATTAAACATATTGTCAACAACATTTCTATACATATATTTTGACAAAACAAATATTCCAAAGTCTCATTGAAGTAAAATTTTCTCTCATAAATAATTGGAGTTGAACATAAGGGAATGAGGTTTCAAACGCACCATTGTTTCACGTAAAAAAAATATGAAAATATTTGTTACATGCTGAATTAGATTTTTTTTTTTTCCTTCAAGCTGCCTTTAGAAGGATGAACTTATGAAATTTAAATAATAATTCAAATAATAAAAAGATATTGCATAAAGTTAAGTGGAATTTTTGGTTTAATATACCTTATAGATAAACTAATTTATATATATTTTTAAATTTAGTGACTCGTAATTTTAAATATATTACTCTATTTTAAATATTTTAGTAAGAACTTTATAATTTATAATAGTTTTACCTAAAACTTATACTAGTTTTAGGTCTTTGTTGCAAAATGTGATGATAAATTCACTTTGAGTTATGGGTTAACATGATATTGGGTATAAATATAAATTTGGATTTTGGATTTTGGTGTACTTGTTTTTATGTTTGGTTTTGAGTGAAAATTAAGTTATTTTATTTGGTTTCATATATTTCAGGGTAGTAAGGATAAGAGCGAAAGAATATTTATTTTTCATCAATTTTTTTCAATGGATTTAAGAAAAAAAAAACAAGAAAAACTTTGTTACTAAGAAGTGATTAATAATAATAATAATTAAGAATTTTAAAATATACTTAGGATAGGTTAGTTTAAAAGATTTAAGATATAAATAAGGTTAAATATGATTTAAATTAAATTAGGTAAATTTTTATCTAACCTATTTAGATTATGATATAAATGAACTAGATTTAGTTCATGGTTATTTATGCTTATTAACCAAATTATTTTATAAAATAATAATTATATTTTAATAAAAATAAAAATAATATTATTTTATTAAAATATATGTATTATAAAATAATTTTATAAGAATTCACTTATTTTGAAATAATAAAAATAAGTATTTAATATTCACTTATTTATGATCAAATTATTAAAATAAATCATTTAGACTATTATATTACTAAAATGTAAATGATGATATTTAATAGTAAGTGTTTAATTTTTTTAATAAATGAATCCCATTTTGTAATTTATATATTAAATAAATATATATATATATATATAAAATAATAATTAATTTTATTAATATAACTTAAATTTAAAAAATATGTTTTTATTTTTAATTTTTATTTAAGAATATTTTTTATTTTTTAAATTAATTATTTTTATATAGATATATTATTATTACTTTAAAATTTTTAATTAGACAAAAATTAATCCATCAAACATATAATCAAACTAGATAAAAAGAATATGATTCATTTTAAAATATAAATTAAATTATTAAAATAAGAAAAAAATATCAATAATAAATAAAATTATTATTATTATTAAATAAAATATTTAATTAAATTATATTTGCAATAGAAAGAAAGAATTAAACATATAAAAAAATAAAGTTGAGAGAAAAAACTATGTTTGCTTCATACATTTTGCCATGAAAGGATTTGACGGCTATTATCTTTGTAAGCCATTCTATAGATTATATTTAAAAGTACTTTATATATATATATATATATATATATATATATATATATATATATATATAATTAATGAGTACTAACCATAATTTTTGTTCATAAACTTTTCCCAATACTGAACAAACTCAAAGTTATTTAAAAGCGGGACTTAAATTGTTAATATATTATATTGTAATTTATAGTAAAAACTTTATTCCCTGAAATTAACTCAAAACAATGTGGATTTTATGGAAATAAGGAAGATAAATTAATATGTCCAAAGTAAACGAATAAGAGTATCATAAGCATTCATCATTTCAAACGAAGAAGCCACAGATGAGAGAATTATAAATAGAAATTTGCATTAAAATATTTATAAGAGACATGTGCATTTAATATTTTTGTACATTTCAAATCTTCCATTCAGATCTATACACCCAATTGCCGGACAATGTTTGTTCAGCTGTTAAATCACACCCTCCAATGTGAGCTGTTGAAAAAAACCCAACTTCAAGGTACTACAGCAACCGCTTGCGATATCTTTTTCCAACACTCTGAATAGAGGAAAGAAAAAAATTGTGAAGGTAGGCCTAAGAACATTAACAACCCAAATCAGCTAAAGCTTCAAGCACTCCCAGATGAAGGCAAAAAGAATATTCATGATATCTGTGAGACAAAATCACGAGGATACATATATCTGCTCATACCAAAATAATCCACTTCTACACTCTAGACTAGGAACACGTGCATGCTCTCATCACGTTAATTTGAAAGATAGTATTGTCTTGATTTTCAGGTATATGGTGAAAGATTTGATCTTTGTCTATGAAACAACATCTGTTATAAAGGGGCCAGGATTTTGATATTTGGAGCCGTAGGATGGAAGCTATGAAAGTGAGCTTTGTTCATGATGGCAAAGCTCCTTTCTAAGTTTATGCGAGAAAAGCATGCATGCATCCATGCTGAGATCGATAGCAGCAGAGAGCGCAATGAAGAGAGCAGCATCAGCCATGCACGTGATATGCTGTGCCCCAACTTGCACAACAGGCTTGCTAACTTTGCCTTCACCGTCCACAGTTGAACCCATCACAAACCCTTCTTCTCCTGGCAGCCTCCAACCCAACCCAGCATCCTTCATCACCTTGTAATCAATGCAGAACTGGCCACCCTTTTTCACACTCATTGTGCCTTCAGCAATGGGTATTCTATTGGCTGGTCCATTGTCAGAGAAAAGCTCAACCTTGTACCCCAACCCATCCACAGGGCCTCTTTCTCGCCACGCCTCCAGACGACCCCATGGCTTCCAGCTACTCACTGAGGCTCCGTTGGGCCGGAGGATGAGCCAGGCTCCCGGGTTTGAACGGGACACGCGATCTGAGCCCGGGGATGGGACAAATGGTGTCACCATTGATGCTGCAGCAACAGGTGAGCCTGAGAGATCGTGAATCATTATCATCCAACCCTTTCTCTCCTTCCCTTGACGCTCTTTGTCGCCTGCGGAGGACCTTCTCCACCCACTTGCAATGCTTGTAAAATCTGATGGAAGAGACCTGAGTTTTCAATTAGGGAAACAAAAATCAATGTCATCCAACAACACATGGTACCTCATTAGTTAAAGAGACCAATTTCTACTTATTAATTTTCATAAATTAAAAATCTCTTTTGGGCAAGATGAACACGTTGTAATTCCAGATTTCATTTTTTTTTCATTTAAAAAGGTACGTAGACTAAACTTAAAGGAAGACAGATATTGAAAGAAAATAAAGTGAAAAGGAGTGGATAAGTATAATAATTGGATAAAAAACACAATGAAATTGTCAAACAGTGACAGGTAATTAATCAACTTGTAATCAACAAGATACTGTGACTGCTGTCTAGTGGCTTTCACATGGGATGGAATCCTAGGTAGAATATGTTTTCACTTTTCGTAGTTTGGATGATGTTAACTTATCTGCTTTACCGAACATGGGCATGCAGTAATAGTTACAGGAAATCCCACTTAGCGATTCATTGTCCTTAAGCGGAATTATTTTGGTTGCAGTAGTTTAGGATGTGGGTTTTTCATTTGAAGGGTAAAAGAAAAAGGTGGAGAACCAAAAGTTGAAGTGGTAGTATAAGCGAAAAGGGAAGACGTGCAAAATTAAATTGAGAAATGGATTCTTGAATTGCACGAAAATCAGTTTAAGCCGGTAATTACGAAAAGAAAAGGCATTAAGAGTTGATTAAAATCATAAGATATTGATGTTTCGAGTGGGGAGGCAGTTAGTCTTCACTAAGTCGTCTCAGTTAAGATTGTCTTTTTCCGTAATCCTCAAGATAATAATAAGAAAATAGGCAAATTAAACCAAAAGGGTTAAAATTTAAAACCAATATGTAGGAGTATATGTATATATCTATCTTTTGAGAAACGGGAAATTCAAAAACTGGCACAGTATTCATTCACGTGAAGGAAACGCCAGAGTGTCTGAACGTGAAAACTGTAACGTCGATGACTGATCGTTTTCAAAACTGGAATTATGATCCAGCCAATGGAAAACGACAGTTGAAAACAAAAACTTCACAGAACCACTGTCACTTTTCACGTTTTTTTCAGCAGAGAAAGAAAGAAACAACAGTAGGTAATGATAACCACCAACAAGAAAGGAACATGAAAATGAATCCAGTTGAATAAGTCGTAGCCCAACCAGACACCCCACATGCCTAAACCTTACCTAAACCTAAAATTAGACATTGCATTCCAACAATTTAGTTCTACAGTTTCTTCTGTATGATTGAATAGTATCACTCAATCTAATACATTAAATTTTAACAGACGGCGCATTCTAGCAGATGGAGTGAAGGAAAGGTAAAATGCGCAGAGAAGAGTGAGGGGGTGACTCACCGAGATCTGTAGTTGCGATCGGCGCTGAACTTGCAACTGAAAACGGGCTGTCGTATATTTCCCTGAATCTGGAAAACGACGGGGCTGCATTCCGGTTCGCCTCCGAATTGAAAGACGAACCGGGGGTCCGGTTCGGACCGGACGACGAGGTGAAGTTGAGCCGAGGGTTTATTTCTACTGTGGGACCCAGCCAGGTTGAGCCAGCCGTTGTGGAAGGTGTGGGAGCTAGAGAGGTCAGTGGAGAGGTTAACGGTGAGATGGACCCGGCCCAACAGCTTGGCGCCGCGCACGCAGCAGGAGCGACTCATTGGGCCGTTGTACACCGAGAGAACGAGGCTGAGGGACTTGCCGGAGAGCCGGCGGAGGGCGGCGGGGTCGAGTTGGAAGGCGGGGGCAGATGTTGTGATGTCCGGGGCGCAAGAGGAGGCGGAGAGAGGGAGGAGGGCTGTGTGGGTGGGGAACGTGTTGGTGCGGATTTTGCAGAAGCAAGGGGTGGTGGAGGGGTGCACGCCGGAGAGTGGCGGTGGTTTGGTTGGAGAGGGAAGTTTGAGAGCGAGAGACTCCACGATGAGACGCACGAAGGGACAAGGATCCATTGAGAGGAGAAGAAGAAGAAGAATGACAAGAAAAAGAACAAGAAGAAGAAAATTTCAGAGTGAGAGAGGAGAGTGATTGTGGTGGTGGTTGCAGAGGAGACATCTACCTTTGTTGGAATGCATATATTGGTGTCGGCTTCAGGGTTAAAAACAGTTTCTTGAAGATTTTTTTTTTTTTTTTCTTTTCTGTTTTCGCGGGAAAATGACTCAATCACAATACGAGGATTGGTGCATGCTTGCTTCTGTTCTGTCATCATAATAATATTACTAATATACAAAATAATTTATTAATGCATGCCATGATAAAGAATCTACATAGATACTAGTACTATCATAGACCAGGTGGCTATAAAGGAAAAAAAATATTGAAAAGTAAATTATTTTTGTTAACATAAATAATGAAATAAATACCAGTGAGAGATTGGGATATTAAACTAATATTAAAATATAATTATTGGAAGAATGAAGTTACTCTCTTTTTCTCTTGAATCAATTCTTAAATGAAAAATCATTCAGTAAATGCAGATCTAAAAATAATAATAATAGTACTAAGGTGAATATGAAGAGTCAAAGTGTATCTACTTGAGTCACCAATTTTCTTAAATAACTGATCAGGTGGTTTTTTATATCATCATTATTATAGAACAGTTTTTCAGTTCTGTGCACTAAATAGGGAATGAAAATAAATATATTTGTTATATTAATACACAAGTTTATTTTAGTTAGTCATGAGCATTTAAAAAATGTATTTAATTCTTTGTTAATATATGTAGTATATTGACTAAAAAGTCAATGATAAAATTACACCCTTAACCTAAAATCATTCTGTTAGTTTGTAACAATTCTTTGATCTTATCCTAATTCTCAACCTTGTATTCACCTTTTTTTATTTTAGGTTTGTATTCAGAAATTAATAAATATAATGCATGTTTTATTGTAATTAATTAATTAATTGTAAATTTTTATTTCATAATTTTTATACCTAAATTATGTGTACAAATTATTTTAAAATTTTGTGGAGAGTAAAAGTATAATTGGTAATAAAAATAAATAAAATACAAATCTTTAAAAAATCTAACAAATATAAAAAAGAAAGTATCATTTCAATTTTTTTCCTTTTTATAAGAATCAACATAAAATAATTTGTACATTAATTATTATTTTACAAAAATATTATTCATTTGATAATAATTAATTAAACGTATCTATCTTATACTTTTGAGAGTGTAACATTATCTTGTATTTTGAAAATTACATTTTGTCTTATGCCCAAATAAATATATTGTGTGATTTTGATTTTTGTCAGTTTAAAATAGTTTAGCAAATGTCATGACTAAAATAATAATAATATTATAAAAACATGACAATTTATACAATCATTACCGATATTCTAAAAAGAAGATTTAGAGATTCGTTTTGTATCTTTATAATTTATTTATTTTTATAATCTAGTAATTGAAAATGGTGATTCATCTTAATTTATATACACTTTATATATATTTATTTATTTATTTGACTCGTTTTTCAAATGAGAAACCAAAAATGCGTTTACTAGCGTATGTACCAACGTAAGTTATTATCGGTCATGTCAACAAATTTGTTAAATATTAAATAAACATTTGACAAAAAAACACTAAAAATAATTGTAATATTTGGAAAAAAAAATCATATACAAACACCATATAATTATAATCTTGAGTAGAGAGCGACAATTAATTTTTTTTAATTGAGTTTTAATAAACGAAGAGAATATTAAAAAAGAATGTAAAAGAAAAAAAATAATGGTATAAAAAGAATGGATGACATTGTTTATTTGATACGTGGGTAGATGAGATGAGACGAAGCAACACAGGGTGGATCAATCATTTGCGCATTCTCATATGCGATGCTTTTCATTTATTTAGTGAGAGTGAAGTTCCCGTGATTATTCTTCATTATAGATACAACTTGGATACAAACAGGGTTGACTCACACCAAAGATGAACCTGAAGAATTAACAACTAAGAAAAGTAGATGTATATGTATATGGAAGAAAGTAGTGGCTGAAACTTGTTTGAAAATTTGGTGAATGGAAGTAAAGTGATGAGTGGAGGTTCGTTGTTTGGAGTGGGAAATGACACCCTGAACCAAGCTGTTTTCTGACCCCACCTTTCTTCACTTGGCTTTATCCCAACCTCAACATTCATCACTTTTTCTTTTTATATATGTATTATGCGTTGATTAGAACAATCAATCATGTCTTTTCAGTGGACAAATAGTTTAGCTAAGTTTTTTATCCGAATTTGTCATTAAAACATGGCAAAACATTATGATATATGAGGTTATAAGTTTGTATTAAAATGATTATGGTGTTAACATAAGTGGGAGGTGGAAGAGGAATTGTGTGTGAAGAAAAGCATCAGCTAAAGCAGATGAATTATGTGTTTGATGGGTGGGTTTTGCACTTTTTATGTTGGGGTTGTGTTTTTCATTGATCTGGAACGAGGATTAGTAGAATAAATGAAATGATAGGAGCATGGGGGCAAGCGTGTATGTGGTTTAGTACTTTATCCATGTTTGTTGCGTTTCTACGCAACCAAAATTGTCATCCCTTCTTTATGCAGTCACATCTCCATGGATCAAGACGAAGGAATCATGAACTTTTCATTTACAAGGTTAAGTCTTACTATAATTTTACCATATTTAAACATTAATTTGATTCTTCAACAACGGTATCATGACTTCGAACAAATGTTTAGGAGTTTTAATGTTTTTTTTATTATTATAATGACGTAATTTTTAGGTAATTTTTTAAAACTACGAATTTAGATAAGTTATAGTATACAACTTAGAATAGGAAAAAAATCATCTTTACATCATGATTTCAATTTTTCTTTTTCTTTTCGAAAAAAGTTATATTAAAAGTACAACTATCTAATATGGTTTTTATTATTATATTATAATAATAATTATTATGTTATTATAATTAATAATAATATTTTTATATTATTAATAATATCAAAATAATATTAATAATAAAATAAAATAATTATAAATATTAATATTAATATTATTATTGTATTATTGATTATATTATTAATATAAATATTTTTATTATTATTTTATTTTTAATTATAATAATAATAATTAAATTATATATAAAAACTGTTATTATTATTTATAATAATAATAAAAAAAATTATTAATAATAGTATTAATTATTATTATTAATTAATAATTAAATAATAAAACAATAACATTATTATCTTATTATTAATAATAGAACCATATTTATAATAATTATTAATTATATTAAAAATATAAATATATTTATTATTAATTATAATTAAAATAATATAAATAAAATAAACTGATGTATTGATGTTCCTCCAAATTTTAGAAATAGATTTAGATCTCAAAACGTGGATTTTGTAAATATAAGATATGAATTTTAGTTTGGTGGACCGTGTATTTTATATTTTTTTTTCTTTCTTTTTTTCATGCATTTGCATGAGAAAACTTAATATTTGATATATTAATCGGATTAGAATATTACTTACATTAAACTTTTACATATAAATTTTATTAAAAAAATACAAATATATAAATAAAATAGACAATAATAAAATATATTAACATTTTTATTATAGATTATAATAATATTATATTTATAATATAATTATGATAATTATATAATAATAAGTATTAAAATATAATAATTAAATTAGTATAGATTTATTATTTTGTTATTTTATTATTATAAATAATAATAATAATAATAATAAATTATTATATAATTTAATTATTATTACTATTATCACCAAAAATAAAATAATTAATAATAAGAATATTTACATTATTCATATAATCAATAATATAATAATAATATTAATAATTTTTATTCATATTATTAATAGTAAACTAATATAATCGTTATTAGTTTTAATAGTAATAATAATATAAATTTAATTATTATTTATTTATTTATTAATAATATAAAAAATTTATTGTTAATTATAATAATAAATTCATACTAGTATAACTTTTATAACTTTTATATAAAAGAGTTCACATCGATTAAAAAAAAAAGAACTTTCATGTAGACTTTTCGACACTTAAGGTTGTAGTATGTTTTAAGGTTGAGTTATTCGCTCGCTGAAGCGTGAGTATGTTGAGAATATTATGAAATAATTTGGTCCATATTTGGCGTGGGCTTAGAGCATTGGAAGAACATTTTTGTAGTACGAGAGGACCTACATCAGATGTAAATCTACCCAAAGTGATTGTTCTCCTGTTCTAACTTCTTTCAAAACATCTAGTAGCACAATTAAGACAACGATGAGTTTTCTATCCAATGAGATAAAAAGTGAAATAAAAATTGAATCAAAGGTTAAGGTAAGACGAACAGTTTTTAATTAATGAAATAAAAATATCATGAAATAAAATATAATGAAAGGAGTTAAGTAAAACTATAATGAATAGATACAATTGCATACATTCTAACATATTTAATATTGTTTTTACATGATTTATAAATTAAAAAAAATTGAAATCATATTATAAAATACGTTTTTTTCATATTAAAGCAATACTTTAACACCTAAATTCGTAATTTTTTTTAAATTTATCGATATTAATAATTTTTTTAAAACTACATCATTATAATAAATAAAAAACCGGACAAGTATTATTTGTTTAATACGTTAAAAAAAACCTCTTTATGTGGTGACCTTGTTGCTTTGTGGCAGGGGAGAGTGGGTGTGTGTTACAATTATCATGTTTAGTTTGTTTTTATTTTTTTTAATACAATTTGTTGAAGTACTTATCAATCAGTTAAAAGGGTGAGAAATTCAAAGTGTTGAAGTTCTTTGACATATGCAACAATGAAAACGTTGATGTTCCAAGAAAGATTTCATTTATTTAGTTGTAAATGAATCTATAAATAGATGCTCAATTTAACTTTTAAAAATTTATTTTTAACCATAAGCAAAGCAATTATAATGATTTTTTTTTTAAATCCTTTTTCATTGCTCGAGAGAACAATTTGAATCCCTGAGTTTTAGCTGTTTCGCTTTTTGTGAACATGTTATCTCTATGTCCTATGATTTGTTAGGGATGAGATTATTGGTGCGAAATTTGAAAATTTTAGTTCTATCAGACAATATCAGAAAATTAGAAATATTTAAAAAATAAACTCAATAAGATGGTTTGTCCGAACAATTTAAAACCTAATTTGAATCGATTTTTATTTTTTACTCAATCTATTTAACATGTAGTTTAAATAAATTTAGATTTGTTTGTCTTTTGAATTTATGGATCTTTATTTTATAAAGTAATAATGGAATTCTAAAAATAATCTTATTTTATATATAAATAGTTATATTTAAAATAATTAATTTTATTCATAAACTTTTTTTAATTAAAATAATCTATTAATTAATTGATCCGACGTAATATCAATCCATACGTAAAAATAGGATTCGTTTTAAAATATAGCTCGAATAAATTAAAATAAATTATTTAAATAGTCTATTTAATATCTCAAACTTATAGATTTAACAATTTTTAAGAAAATATATATTTAAAATAATTATAAATCATAAACTCAAGGGGTTAAATTTTATAGTTTTATTATTATTAATTTATAATTATATTAACACTATATTATTTTATTTTATTACTATTTTTTAAAATTTGTAAACAAATAAATAAGAGTGGAATCATTCCAGAGGAACTATAGTGTGATTCATGTCCGCAAATGGGAATGATAAAATTTTGGGCTGCAGGAAGCAATTTGTGGGGTGCAGGAAGGAAAGGCCCATAAAAAATTGAGTCATTTCAGGCTTTGGCAGTCACGTGCGAAGAGGGTGCACGGAAGCTTCTGGGTCTGAGGGGAACAGTTTCACAAGGAAGATCTGAAATTCTGAATTCCGAACTGGAATCAGAGTTTCGTTTTCATTATCTTCCTCAGTAAGCAATGTCTTCTCCAGCTGAGTAATTCTCTTCCTCCTATTCATTCTTTTTTTTATCATTGTCCAATGAATAGAATGTTGATGAATTCTTTTAATTATTGTTAATTTGACCTATCAAACTTTTCCTGTCGAATTATAACCAATTTTAACCCATTCGTTATTTTAAGTCGATGAAGAGGCTTTAGATTAATGTTTACTCTTTCGCCAAACCTAATTTGAGCGTTTTCCAGCTTCGGTAGTGTCAGAAGTAATCAGTAATATTACAAGTTTTCCTTTCATTGATATGCTTTTATTAGGTGTACAAATTTTCTTGCGGAATTTGCTTCAATCACTTTGTTTAATGCTTCAAAATTTGCATGCTTTCAGGTTTTACCACTCTCTTCCGCCAATAACCAAGGCATATGGCACCGTTTGCGTGTTGGCAACTGCCACTTACCATCTTGGATTATACGATCTAATTCAGATTGCACTATTGTACGAGCGAGTGTTCTATGGTTTTCAGGTGTGAATTCCATAATATCATTGGTATCAGTATCTGAGAAAGAGGAATGTGCTGATAATGTTTTTGCTAAGTATTGCATTCATTCTCTAAAGTTTCCCTTTTGATATCCCATTCTGTGTGTCTTTGTTGAAAAATTCTTATATACTAGACAAATTCAGCATCCTTTTTTGTGTTTGTCTGTCGCCAAATTAAAAGAAATATCATGGAGGCATACTTGGTTTTACTCCCAACTGTTTGTAACATAACCAGATTTGCAGCCAAACACTTGGTATATCATATTATGTGCTGCATATACTTGTGCTTTTGTGGTAAAAAATCCATTTATTGTTATATATAATTGTGCCTGTGTATCGAATGATTGTTTCGCTCTCTAGAGTGCTCTCAGCTTCCTTAGATGCTGTAGAATATTTCTATCTAATCAATAGCATCCCCCTATTCATTTTTGGCTACATTTTCTGATACTTGTGGATAAAGAGATGAGACATTGTGGACACTGGACACTACATTACACTGCTCCATTTTGTAGCACTGGTTTAATCCCTTGGCAGCCGACAGGCTGCTGATTGTTTGGGGAGATTTTTTACTATTAAGTTGTCAATTAGAGGTTTACTGCTGAAGTTTGTGATTTACCAAAAGCTTAACTTCTTGTTGACAACCTTTTGTAATAATTCTAGTGAGCCCTTTTCCACAGTTCAGCTATTTAGTAAATCTTTGTACTTCGCATCATCTGTAGGTTTGGAGGTTATTCACAAACTTATTTTTCCTTGGACCATTTTCTATCAATTTTGGGATCCGTCTCTTAATGATGTAAGTAATTGAATGATAATTTGTTACATCAATTTTTACTTTCCTGTATATTAAAAAAGAAGTTTATATAGAGTTATGAGGTATATTTTACTTCATATCAATTAATTAATTTTCTTATGATCTACAGATTAAGATACGGTGTCCAACTTGAGCAGGGGCCATTTGACAGACGGACTGCTGATTTCTTGTGGATGATGATATTTGGCTCGTCTGCACTATTGGTATGCGTGATAATCTACATATCTTTTTCACCATATGATTGTTAATGTGACATTTTTCCTTCAAAATGGTGAAAGATTTATTTTGTAGAATCTATTCTAGTGGTTCTGGCTTATAAACTGGACAAGAAGATAACTAACTTTTTCCTTTTGGATAACAAAGATGGAAAATTCATCGATCTAATTTAATTTGTCTGTCTTTTCATTTGACCATTGTGCCTGTGAAAGTTATACTCCTTTTGTCAATAAGAATTCTAGCATTAGCATATGGTGACATCACTGAAATTATTTGGTGATAAAATTGTGGTTGATTTCTTTTTAGTTATTGATTTATGCAAAGTTAGATGGAAAAATTCAGATCAGTGGGTAATTTAACAAATGACTGATGACTGTGGTTGATTATCAAAATGTTCAATGGTAAGTAAAAGATGGTTATTAGTTGCCAATTTCATTTGAGGTGACTGATGGTTGGAGAGAATATGTAGGAAACCGAGTAACTTAAATTTCGGTTAGGTAGTATAGGAAGCGCCAATGAAGGGTTGAATATTATGTACTAAACAACTTGGTTCAGTGGACAACAACGTTTGGGAACTTCGTAAATATTGAGAAGTTACTTTAGTGAGACAAAATTCTGATTGAAGGATCAGATGTTTAATTTGTTGTTGAAATTGCACCAACTCCATTTTCCCACTTCTAGTTGCTTTCTCTGTAGTTTCTTTTTTAACTTGGCGTTCTAAGTCTTAAACATCAGTTTCTTTCTTTGTAATTTTATTTCCTCAATTATAGGTTTTGTCTGCCATCCCCTTTTTGTGGTCCCCATTTTTGGCAGTACCACTTGTTTTTATGCTCCTTTATGTTTGGAGTAGAGAATTTCCGAATGCCCAAATCAACATATATGGGCTTGTTGCTCTTAAGGTACGTTTCAATCTTCTGTAAGTTAGCCTTGTCCTTATGCATCTGCTGCATAAGTTCTACGTACGAGGAATATCTTTTCATTGTCTGATAGGATCCATATCTTTTGTTTTTCCAGGCCTTCTATCTTCCATGGGCAATGCTTGCTTTGGATGTCATTTTTGGCTCGCCTCTTATACCTGACCTCTTAGGTATCATCGCAGGACATCTGTACTACTTCTTGACAGTGTTGCATCCATTAGCAGGTGGAAAGAACATTTTGAAGACTCCAATGTGGGTGTATCCTTATGGTTTTCTGTTGCTTAAGGTGTTGTTATGCGCATGTTATTGTCATTTTTAGTTTTTTTTTTTTTTTTTTTGGGTACTGTCTTGAAGCTTTATTCATTGTTTTTGAAGCTGAATCCAACATAAGAAACAAATCCTCCACCCTCACCTTTAAAAACTACCTTTCCTCTCTAAGCTTCTCCATCCGAACACATCTATAGTATTCCTCATTGTTTTTGCAGCATTGTAGGGGCAGTACCTACAGCCATGTTCTTTTTCTTGAGTCAACTCCTTAGAATAAGAAACTCGGGGCTAGTTCTGTTGTTTTCTTAACTGTTATTTTTCAGACGTAAATTGGTTGGAAGGTGGAGAATTGGAATGCAACCAATTAGTCGTGCGCAGCCTGCTAATAACCCTCAGCAAGAGAGTGGCGCCGGAGTTGTTTTCAGGGGAAGGTCCTATCGACTTGGTGGATAGATGCAATAAATGGAGTGGATTTACCTGTCAGTTGTTTCATTTTTCTCTTATTGCTTATTGACATGACACCACTGACAAAAGGAGCTAAACATCAGTTGGGAATTAGAATGGGAACAGTGTATGAAGGTTGAGAGTTCATTGAAAAGCAAACTTTCTAGAGAGCATCCTTACAATTTTCAATGTATTCTCGGGGGAGCTTTTACTTGTAAGAAAGAGTTAGTGAAGGTTTATGAATTAATCGTCGAATGTTCATCGTGAATTATTTACTTTGTCCTCACTTTCAAGACATGTACAATTTTGTATTCAGTATGAAGGTTACTCCCGTAATTTTCACCTCGAATCCAACTGGTTTCAGAGTCCATGCCCCTGTGCAAGAAAATGAATCAAAGTTGATCAGATAGCACGTAGCCACATATTCCAAATTTTGATGGGGTTTCTATCTTGTTATTTGCGCTTTGCATTTGTTTAAATTTAGTAGATTTGTCATGTTTTATATTTAAAAAAGTTACAAATAGACCGAATTTTGTCAGCTTAAAGTTTATTTCGTATAATTATCTTGTCTGTCATTCAGTGAGTACGGATTATTAGGCGCCAACCCTCTTGCTGAATGAAGGAAATTCAGGGCTCTCAATTGGAGTTGCTAAGCCCTTTCTAAATAGCTCGCAGCCATTCTTAGTTGAGATAGATCGCTTACTGGACTAACATAATTGTGAGTTTGTAATTTTTTCAACTTAATCTATTTTTTCAGGGATTATATTTTTCTTTATAAATCCACTGGACTAACCCTTTCTAAATGGACTGACTTACGGGCTTATGTTTTTCTTTATAAATCCACTGATTTTATTTTTATAACAAATTATATAATATTAATTTTTATTTATATAAGTAAGTCATTTTCCTAACATTATACTGCTCTAATAACTAATTATAACACTTTTATTCTAAACCAATGCATTAGATATAACGATTTAATAACTAATTTATTTATAAGTCACAACAAGATGAAGTTGATAAAAAAATCTCTATATAATACAACGAATAAGTTCATTAAGATTAGAGTTCATGATATCATAAAAAGAAAAGTAAAATCCCAAACATATAAAAGCACATTGGGTCGTATATCATCAAAAGATCACCATACATAAAATATTGAAGCTTATCATCTTCATTCTCGTTCTTCTTCTCAATAAAAAATAAAATTATATGCATACTATTTATATTTATCTTTATTTGTTTAAAATAAAATAAAATAAAATAATTTAAGCTTGCTTCCTTCTCCATACGAAGGACAAACAAAGTAGTAAAAAAAAAAGGTTTTTGTTTAAAAAATAAATAAAAGTATGATAAATAATATGTTCTTCACTTGAAGAAATACAAATAAATGTAATATATTAAAAATGGCAAAGAGAAGAGAGAGAAGCCTGTCTCTTTAATGTAAAAATAGCTGATGGTAGTTTAAGTCGTAGTTGGTTGTGGTCTTATAAGTTTATTAATAATCAATAATTAAATTATCCTTTTTGCTAGGTGGAGTTGTTGTGAGTTGTAAATTGAGTACTTGATGAAGTGAATCCGTTGAGGAATTAACCATTTCTAATCTATTTGTGGACATAAAGGAATGAAAATAGGAAGAGGAAAATAGAGAGGTTGGATCCTGTAATGAAGGAGAATGTGATCGGGTGGCAAGAATTGAACGGAGAGAAAGAGATGGTGGGGCGAGGATCACCCTTCGTCCATGATCCAACGCTTATTTAAAACTAAATTTCAAGGTGAGAAACACAAGCACAAACACAATTACACCACATCTCAATACAAGCACCACAACAAGACATCAAGAACAACAAAATGTCGTGGCAGACTTACGTCGATGAACATTTGATGTGTGATATTGACGGCACCGGCCACCATCTCACCGCAGCGGCCATCATCGGTCACGATGGCTCTGTTTGGGCTCAAAGCACTTCTTTTCCTCAGGTAATCAATCACTTTCCATTTCACCTCATTTTTTATGCCTCACTCCCATTTAACTAATGGGTGTAAGAAAACAAAAATGAAGTCATATCTTTATTTATTATATATAATACCTATGTAACATTCTAATTTGTTATTTTTTCTCCAGATTAAATCTGATGAGGTCTCTGGTATCATGAAAGATTTCGACGAACCAGGTTATCTTGCTCCCACAGGTTTACACCTTTCAGGAACTAAATACATGGTAATCCAAGGAGAACCAGGAGCTGTCATTCGTGGAAAGAAGGTATAGTCTCATCCAATCTTACACTTGTTATCTTGCACACTTTAAAGGACTTCATTACATTGCCTTCATAATCTCAGGTAATTTATTTTTGTTTAAGACTTTTTTTCACATGTTTTGGTTTGTTCTGGTAGGGATCTGGAGGCATCACCATAAAGAAAACTGATCAAGCTTTAGTTTTTGGTCTTTATGATGAACCTGTGACTCCAGGACAATGCAACATGGTTGTTGAGAGGCTGGGAGATTACCTCATTGATCAAGGTCTCTAGACCTAGCTAGAACTACGTATCATGTGTTGGAACATTTTTATTTCTTTTTTCATATTTTTCACTTGAATCTGCTACATAGCAACCCTAATTCCGGAGTTGTTGCCCACAATAACCATCTGAGAATTCAATGATTGTTTCTTGTTTGAATTTTTAAGTTACGCTTCCCTTCACTCCTTCTCACGTGTACTCTGAATTCTCATCTACCCTTTTTCTTCATATATTTTCTTCTTCTTACTGGTTAAGTTCCTGCTAAAATAACACATGTATGCAACATATAGTTTCAAATTAATTAATTCTTATAGAGATTTAATTGCTCATAGTTATTTATTCACTGAAATCTCATTGTTTTTATATTTGGCATATTAATGAATTTTTGTTTTAACAAATAAAAAATAGTTTTAATGGCACTTTAATCATAGAATGTAAAGGGAATAACTTTAACAAATCAGTAAGTACATCATAAAACATTTTAAAATTATCTAAATACATCTTTTGTTCTATATATAATATATTTCAGTTCATACAATTCCTTATCCATACTATGTGCAAGTCCTTTTGTGTAATTCTTCTATTCAAACTTAAAATAACTATAACTCCTAAAACTAGAATTTTTACCCCTAAAACGTATAAATAATTTTATATAATACTATATATAATAAAATTATATTTTAATTAATCTATATATTTGAGTATTAAAATAAATTAAACTTCGAAAAATTATGTAATAAATCATTCCAATTTGTTTATTATGAATACCAGATAAAAAAAATTAAAATATAAAATAATATTACTGTTAATTTTAATATTTTAAATTTGTTTAATTACAATATTTTATTTCTTATACTTTTATGAAAAATATGTTTTATTTTATTTAAAATCAGGATAATTTAATTAAAATTTTCATAATAATACAATCATCCTTCTCTATTATTTTATTTAATAAATTTAATTAAATGCATAATTGTGTAGTAATTATAATAATGATCATATTTATGTATATTTATATTTTTTATGATAATTAATTACGTTTAGTATAAAAAATTGTATAAATAAATTTTTTTCTTATATTTTTTGATGTGTTTACTGTATCTATTAACCTAGTTATTGGTGAAAAAATCACGACACTCATGTTCCGAAAGGAAAAATAAAAATAAAATAAATAATAATAAAATAAGGTACCAATAAAAAAGAATATAGTTAAATAATATGTAAACGAATAGTAAACAGAAAGTTTAATAAAAACAATAGCACTTAAACAAAATGATAATATGCAATGTAAGATAATTTGCATCATAATTACATATACACAGATTTAAAAAAAATGTAATTATTATTTAATATACACCTATTGTGTAGTAACTATTATAATAATTGTTATTGTTTTAAAATTTTAGCTTTGAAATTCAAAATTTGAAGAAAATTTGAATTTTAAATATTGAAATAATTACATTTATGATATGCTTTTATGATAATTAATTGTTATGATAGAGAATCCATAAATTACATATTAATATTGACATTCCTGATCTCAAATTCAATTAATAAAAAAAACTGAAATATGAAAAAAATTGTTACAATTTAAAATGTGAAGTGAATTTTAAATTTTAAAAATGTCATATTATAATTCTTTTTTATAATATAACTTTTTAAAATTATCATATTAAATTTAATTTAATTTAATATTACTTAAAAATCATTATAAAAAAATTATAAATATATAAATATCTCTCTAACATAATGTGATTATTATTTTGATCGAATATGATATAAAAATAGTATTACTGAAAACAAATAAAAAAGCAAATAATCATAAAATAAATAGATCGAGACAATTAGTATAAAAATATGGGGTTTGAAAAAAACATAAAAATCACAAACAAATATATGAAAATAAAAAAAATATACGTGAAATTTATTTTATTTTAAATTAAAAATACATTATAAAAATAGAATTAAAGAAGAACAAAATAATAAAAATTAAGATGACTGAGTATATTTTTTTTATTAATGAAAAGTAAACTAATTTTTGTCGCCTCAATAAAATCAAAGAGAATAAATTACCTCAATGATAAATTAATTAGAATAAATATTATATATAAATTAATATAATGAATTTATATATGTATGTAATACTGAGTCAAGAAGTTATTCTCACATTAAGTATGTAATAGATTTGATCTCAAACTCGTAAAAGTAAAAATATTAACCTATGGATATATTTTTTATTGGTATTTATGTATTTTACGTCTAAGAGTTTGTTATAAACACGACAAATCAATCATAGAGATAAATTATGGGAGAGAAATAATAGAAAATTAAAACGTCCCTATTTGAAAAAGAAAGGTGACGGAAAAAAGAAAAAAATTATAAGTAAGGATGATCTATCAATTGTAACTTTTTCTTTTTCCTTTTATTAATTTTTTAAAATTCAAAATAGACTATGTACTCATCATAATATAAAAAATGTATATAAAACAAATCAGAAACTACAGTCTATAATAATTTATTAATTTTTAACAAATATTAATTGCTTAAAAAGATTTTACACTTTTGTTAAACTCAATTAATAATAAAAGATTTACCTATTCTAAAGTAACAATAATGAACCCTATAATTGATTTTTAATTTTATTATATTTTTTTAACTTTTTTTTATGGAATAATTATAATTATTATCTCTAATTGGTAATAAAGTGGTGCATCTCAGAATTTCTTTTTCTTCCTTTTTCTTATATGCCAGCCCGAAACAGCGAAAATAGGGTAATGAAAAGGGCATTTGCGTAATTGCAGGTGGTTTGCACCGATTTATATAGGCATGTAGCTCCGTGGAATCAACGCAGCCAAGAAAATAAAATCTCAACGCATTTTCTGAGCAGCAAAACACTCTCGAGAAAAATTCTGAGTTTGGAGAAGAAAGCCGAAGCATGTCGTGGCAAAACTACGTCGATGACCACCTTCTCTGTGACATCGAAGGTAACCGCCTCACTCACGCCGCCATCATCGGCCAAGACGGCGTCGTTTGGGCTCAGAGCGGCGGCTTCCCTCAGGTTTTGTTCCCATTTTCGTTCACTCTTTTTCCAATCCGATCCTTACGCTGTTTATTCTTAATTTCTTATGGAACCTTCTAGATTAACCGATCTATTCTCACTTCCTATTCAAATTGAATGAGGATCAACATGCAAAATAGTTCACTGCATCTTCTCCTATAGTTAGCGGTTACTAATTAGCTGTTTGTTGATTCTGATTATGTTCTTGCCAGCTACAATTGTACTTTACTTCTAAGATATTGCTATTATTTGTGGTTTTGATGTGTGAGTGATTCGCTTATTCCTGAGACGAATCTGATGGTTGCATATAATGCAAGAGATCTGTTTGTGTGTTAGTTGATCCTTTTTTATTTGTGATATGATAATAATAATTTATGGAAATTTGTTTATGCAGTGCAAAGCTGAGGAAATATCTGGAATCATGACTGACTTTAATGAGCCTGGATCGCTTGCTCCAACTGGATTGTATCTCGGTGGCACCAAATATATGGTCATCCAGGGTGAGCCTGGCTCTGTCATTCGAGGGAAGAAGGTAACCACCCTCTCTGAGATTTGCTTCAATGTAGGTTTCATTGATAGTGTTATGAAAGGGTTAAATGGTTGCGATCCTTTATGTTGTGAGAAATTGTGGCCAAATGCTGTTGAAGTTGCGGTTAACTGTTTTTTAAAAACCTTGGTGTGTCGATCCAATTTATGTATTCATTTTCAATATTTTTTTTTTAACTTTGTAGATTTTGATTTTTGAATAATGCAATAAAATGTAATGTGAGCTGTTTTTGCTCTCTGCACTACAATCAAGTCAAAATTTTACAGTTCTTTTTTGGGGTTGATCTTGAGGGTATCGAAGGAATATATATGGAGCTTGCACACGGTGTTACTGCAGTGATTTAGTTATGCAACCGGATCTATGGTTATATTAGTACAGTTTTTATTTTTTTTTTTCTAAAACTTTGCACATTTTGGGATCCATCCAGGTGTCATTATGTTGTGTATTGAATATCATTTAAATTTCAGTAAATTATTAAAAAAAAAAATAGAGACCTTAGTGCAGGGTAATTATTTTATCAATCCTCTCAATAATTAAATACCGTGCACTGGGATTATCTGATTTAAATAGTTTACCTTCAATCTAAATCTTAATCACTTCTATATTTTTTTTCCTTTGAATTTTTTTATTCAATGGTGAAAGATGAGCAAATATCAGTTGTGCTTCTTGTACAATATCTCAATGTTAATATATTATTTCAGCATACTTTGTCCATTATGGTTGTATTATCAGTGTCTAACTATCCGTATTATCCAGGGTCCTGGTGGTGCTACTGTCAAGAAGACAAATCAGGCCTTGATCATTGGTATTTATGATGAGCCAATGACTCCTGGTCAATGCAACATGGTAGTTGAAAGGCTTGGTGATTATCTCATTGAACAGGGTCTCTAATCTTCTCTTTATGTCTTGTTATCTTGCATATTTCATTGGCTTCTATATAAGTTTTTGCATCGACCTGGACTGGAATGCTTTGATTGCGATTAATAATCTTGTGGGTATCAAAAGTCACGGGATCTGCGTGTAGCGAAGTTTGATGCTGGAGAAATGATGACTATAATCTTTATCATGTACCTTTTAGTGGGGTTGTATACATTGCACTGGTTTAAAATTTTTAATGCTATGGTTTAATGGTTGGCATATTTATTAAAAGTTTGCATATTCTTGGAAAGCCTTTTAATATTTATACTTCCTTACTCGTTTGTCCCCTTCCCCTCTTTCAAATTATTTTCTTCAGTTAAGTAGTATTTTTGTTTTAACGAGCCTTGGACGAAGCCCAATTATTTTGCTTCGAGAAGCGTCCGGTGGGACATACGCAGGATCCTGGATTCATCCTTCAAACTCCGCTTGGTTCATTACACATACGTAACCCGCGCTAAACATCCAACAAATATCATGTATGTCGGTCCGGCTTCGTTATTTTTATTTTTAATAATAATAGTAATAGTAATAATAATAATAATAATAATACAAATTCAATCAACATTTCTATGTACGTAAATCAACTTTGCAGGGTAGACTCATTCTTAGCTTTTCATTTGTAATCCTCTTAAATAGCATGGTCTTTCTAGGGCTATTTTTTAAATCAGTACGATACAAGTCTGCATATAATTTGAATTAGCTTCTGAGTAATAAATGAAATGCAAGTTTCATAGTATACTGTTTTTATGAATTAGCATGAATTCAAATATGTCACCTTGATATAAGCATTGGTAGATAACAAGTAAAGCATACGGAAAAAGGGACCATCGCATTCTAGTAAATAATCAGCTCAAACAATTTTATAAGTGATTTTTTATCGATTTGAAGGGTTTTAAACTCTGGTCAGTTCAGTCAAATTTTACAACACTGATATTTGTTGTTGCTTTTCATCAATATCCTCATTATTCTGTATTTTACCGATTTGGAGTGAAACCAGATAAAATAATTGAAGTAGTAAAAGCTCTGCATATGCAGTTGCTTGACTCTTAACTCTTTTACCCCTCAGGAAGTTAATACTTCCCTGTTCTCATTTACACGGTTGATGTTTAAGCATCACTCTATATGAGAACTATCGTAAATTATCTCAAAGACTCGAGATAATCTTAAGAACGAATTGGTTTATAGCCTTGGGCGAGTCACGATACGAGACAACAAGGGGCAGCACACATTACACACATGCATAGTTTAAAATAGATTATCGATGACAGGTCCAATCTTTGCAAGCTGTTTTCTTTTATCACTTGGCACACAAAACTAGTACCAAAGACTTTTGGCCTATCACTGCTCCTATGCAGTGAAAAAAAAAAAAAAATCTTATATAACAACAACGCAGTTTACACTTTGCAAACATTGCATAGAGAATATGAACACTCTCCACTAAACTATTACCTCCCCCATGCATGTCAAATGCAGCATACATCTAAACAAAGCAAAATCGTACTGCACTTTCAACAATCAAGCTTGTCAGCTCCATTGAATATGCATCAGGGCAGAGAGATAAGTTACAATCAGAAAAGTAAAAATTGATGTAGAATTTCCATTCCGTGAAGAGGATGAAGTTGAAGAAGACATTGCTGTTGTATTGCTTGTCACAGTTTTATTACTTCTGCAAAAGCACAAAACAAGAAACACTCAAATGTCATATCTGATCCTAAATTGAATTTGTATAAGGTCAAAGCAAAAAGAATAACTAAATGTCTTGTCCTATATTGAACTTACCCAGCTCTCATGTAGATGCAGTTGTCATAGCCTGCAGAAGTGAAATTAGTTAATTAGTAACAGAAAACAATCTACCAGAACACTTTAGTGAAACCAAAAGTTGGAAACATTGACAATTAAACAAATAATTATGAGAGCAGCAAGTTTGATAGATATCAAACAAATTCCACCTGATATCAAACAGATATCCCTCTACGTATTAATACTTTTCTTGTTCTAAATCGAATTGCATGTTAGCTCGCTTTCTTTCTTCAAATCATATCTACCAAAAGTATGCAGAAGTTTCTGGGAAAAACAGAATGACCAAAAAGATAAATGCAGTATCAGAGATGGGTTGTGATGAAACATACTTGGATCCTTGTCAACTTTTACACCTGTGCCTCCAAAACTGCACGCAACATCAGACGCTCCATTTTGCTGATAATAGCTATTAAACGCATAAGATGCATGTGAAGCTAGGTTATCTGGCTCAAAACAAGGCTGGCTAGGCTGTATCGCTGTACAGTCCACATTGCCAGGACCACATGCCCAATCTATTGCATTCTGCAAGTCAATTTGTGAGGCCTTACTTGAAGCAATGCACCATGTGGTTCCATTGGACCTGGTTATATTTGCCTCGGTGGTCATATCAACTGCACCCCGTCCAGTGAAATCTAGGCTATACACACTTGTCTGGTCGGGATAAAATAATCCCCAGTTTCTCTCAGATTCTAAACCAGGTTTCCTATTTTCATTGAACAATGAGAAAATATAAACATCTAGCTCCTCTCCAGGCTTTGCAGGAGTACCAGTGTTGTTGATAACATGCCTTATCAGATTAGTATTATATGTTTGTGCATTATCCGGAGTTGCAGCTGTCTCCTTAGGTGACCCTTTGGAAGGCCAACCAGTCTCAGTCACCATGACCTTAATTGTTCTGAAGTTTAAGGCCATCAGTGCAAAGTAAATAGCATCAATCTGGGCATCAAACATGTTTGTATACAGCAGACCAGTGTTTGGATCAATCACTTCAGAGGAAGCCTCAAATAGGGCATAGTCTAAGGACACTTTACTAGGGGAATCACGGTAAGCATAATAAGGATATATATCAATCATAAAAGGTGACTGATTCTCAGCGAGAAATTCTAGCATTGGCTTTAGGAAATGTGCATGGCTGCTATTGAATGCCCCAGCAGAAGGCGGGAATGAGCGGGACAAAACCCCAAGGGAATGGGTACTGGAAACTTTTATCTTTTTGTGCAGCCCAAGTTTCTTGAGTGCTGTAAGCACATTAGTCATGGCAGGCACAACAAGTGAAGAGGTATTATTAGGGCTCTCAGTGACTTCGGCACCAACAGTTATGTACGTGATCTTCGTGGCCGGATAGTAAGGAAGGACACTGTTTTTCAGCCATCTGTCTGCATTAGATTGGAACTGAGACAATGACAACAAATCTGAATTCGGAACCCCAATCATAAGCTCGATCCCAGTGTTTGCAAATGCCTTCAGAACCTGTATGTTAGAATCATAAATCCTGACATATTTGATTTTATGAAGTTGAACCAGCTGTGCCACCTTGTCAGGTGTAGGAAGGTCATCGGCACTTCTTCCATAGCAGACTCCAATAAAACTCCCAGAGCAACAATCTGACAGAATATTTCATACATTAAAATAAATCAAATTATGCATTACAAAGATGACTTACTCATTATGAGTAAAAGTGCTACCTCTACTGGCTGTATCTGCAAGTCTAAAACAATCAATCATAAAGTGTTTTCAATCCACACACACAATGCGAAGTGCAGTACGGTAAAGGTGGCAAAACATGCCATCTTGGACATAATATTTGAGCATCTAAAGTAGGCATGAACCTAGCAAAAGAAGGACTTTTAGTGGGGGGTTTAGAATTTAAACCCATATAAGACCATCATTGGATGAGGCTGAAAAAACCAGCGTTTAATTTGGATCAAAATTTATAACTCGGCTATATCGACCATTTCACCAGCTCTATCTATGGCAAGGTGTCACACAATCCAAAGTATGAGGTAACAAGTGATCTTTACACATCAGCTGTAACACAAATTGAAAGAACCATATGCCCACTTGAAAGGGTAGGGCTAGGAAGACTAAATTAAAACACATTTCTACAATTAAAAGCGTTTTTCAACCCCGCAAAACCCCTCCATAAAGTACAATGGTTTATAAAGAGCAAACTGCATGCATAAACCTAGTTTTAGTAACATCGTTGGTTCAAGTATCAGACAGAGAATCATAGAGTGAGTCATTAATTATTTATTTACATACATAAAAAAAAGGAAAGAAAATATAGAAGCACCGACATTGTTAGAGCAAAGTTGCAAAAGGGAAGGAAGAAGAGATGGTAGGTACGAACCAAGAAGCAAGATGAAAAGTGAAGCCGCAAAGATGAATGTGAAGCGAGTGGCCATTGGTGCAAGGAACAGAGAGAGTGAAGTGAAAGAATTTGATGTTGTTGAGGTTTTTGTGTTGTGAAGTGAAAGTTGGGAAAGGCTTTTGTTTACCTAACGTTCCAATGCTGAGAAAGTAACGGCTATTGTCTCTCTTTCTCTCTCTGTGTCGTTCTGGAGATCGGAGCTCGAGAGTGGCGATGAGGACATTATGTTTTGTCCACTACTGCAACCTCTTTTTCTTTAAAGAAAAAATGCAAACTTTTTTACTTCTTATTTTTTAAAAACCTTCATAAAATAATTTGAAAGTTCTGAAATTAAAATTCTATATTCTGGTTTAGTTTTTATAACTATAGGTTTTTGAATTAAATTAATTTAAATTTCCCGTATTAGATCTTGCTCATAAAACTATTTTAGTACAAAAAGTATCTGTAAATTCTTATTTTATTTTATTTAACATAATATTTAAAAAGTAGTAATGTAAAAAAAATGTAGAAAGTAGCTAACAATTTTTAACAATTGTTTCAAATAATAAATTAATAAAATAAGTTAGAATGAACAAGTATTCTTAAATAAAGAATTACGGTGTTGATTACATTTTTGCAGGGACAGAGAAATTTATTACGTGACTGCAACACATCACAACACAATACAATGCTGTCAGAGAAAAAAGTGTCGGTCCTCAGTTTTACTATCCAATTCAGTTTATTATCCTTCTCTATTCCGCAATTTCGCATGTTTGTTTCTTCCCTTTTTCTGATTTTTTCAAATATTATTTTAGCATTAGGTAAATAAATTATTCATCTCTGTAAAATTTAGTGACTTTTAATTTTAGTTTTTATATTATGTTTTCTGAACCGACATTTTTTAAGTTTATTTAGTATTGTATGATATTAATTATTTGTTTAAGATAAAATTATTCATTTAAAGTTATACACACTGATATACAATATACAATTCTTTAAAACTTATAAAATAAATATTATTTATTTATTAATATTAAGAACTAAAAATTATTATTTAAAATTATAGAATGATTATTTTTTAAAATATTTTATAAAGTATAAAAAAATTACACCTTTTTTGTAAATTAAAAAGTAATTTTACATTTATAGATGAAAAAGTATATAATGCAAAATTAAAATGTATTAATTTTATATTTTATGTATCATTCGCAAAAATTATGTATAGATATATAACTAAAATAATTCAAAATATAACTTTTCTCTGGGTAGAAAAATATATTACTACATATTTATCATTTTTAAAATAAACAAAATATAAATCTGGACTATTTCTAGTTTTGGATCTATTTCTATTAAGGTTTATCACCTATAAAATCTGTAAATATACAATTATCACTGTTTAAAACATCATACAAAATATACATGATAAGCTAGTAATTTAATTTAAGTATACAAAATTTAAATGTGAGGTAAAACAATGTTACTTAACTTCAAGTTTTCATATATCACATCACATGTTCATACACACTCATATTCCCGTTACATAGACACTAGACGACTTCCGACAAATTAGATATTGAAATATGAGTGGTGATATTTTGATAACCACAAATCATACAACTCTTCAAACAACTCACTTTTATTAATATAATAATCAGTAAAAGGATTGAATAAAAATAAAGTAAAACTATTATTATAATATTAAAAGAGAGATGTTTATAGGAGTTGTATGGATTTGAGTTGTCAAAATATCATTTTTCTTGAAATATACATCGAAATATGCATATGTCACACTACCTTCAATTGTCACCACATGATCATTTCATCATGTGATTTAAGTGATTAGTAGAGTCAAGATATATCCTTAAGTCCTAAATCAATATCTATACATACAATATTACACACACAAGGATACATTTGATAATACTTATATCACAATACAACATTTTTTCAAGATACATAATAATATTTAACACACCATATTTCATGTTTATAACATGTATTTTAATAACTTAAGACATATACACATAATTTTCTCATATTATAACAAAATATAATTTTTTTCTAATTTGATCTCTCGTCTATTTTTTTTATTATAACTTTTTGTATAGATGTTCTTTTTAACTAATTTTTATTTATTAGATTCTTTATCTTCGGTACTTCAATTTGTATATATGAAACATTAAATTTGGAGTTCAAAGTTATTTTTTATAATTTTTCAAAAGCTGCTGATCGAATTTCAAATCTATTAAGCAAAATTTTAACAAAATAGAATCTCAAAATACTATTCAAAATCTGCTAGATCTAATTTGAAAGCACTTTGCAAATTTCAAGTGCTTCAATAATGTTTTAAACTCGTTGGACTGGATTTGTGATCGTATGTGATCGCATAATATGCTTAATACACTGTTTCTAATGTTTCAAATCAAATTAATGTTAAATCTTATTATAAATTAATTCATTAGATTCAATTTAAGAATAATACATTCATATAAAAAAACTATATTTTCAATCTATATAAAACAATTATACATTTGCATTCAATATAATCATTACAAATTAACACATACATAATTACACAATGTAAATTTCTTAAACTCAAACCAAGTTACCTTCACAATCCACATCTTTTAACCTAAAGTATAATAAAAAGTAAAAAATAACTATCTCTTCTTACCTCAAATACAGTATCTCCAAATTAAAGGCCTAAAGACCCAAAAACTCGTAAATTTTCAAGAAGATAGATCATATTTACAAAGAACTCAAATTAACTAATTAAACATATCACAATGTTATTAAACTAGTCAAAGATTTATATTTTCATAAGAAAGTTTATATGTAAAGTACTTAAGACCCACTTACAAACCTAACAAAATATGCCAAAATGACTTAAAGTTAGGAAATGAATAATTTACTTCATTCAAAATTTTTATCTCAAATTAATTATAAGAAATTTTATTTTTTTCTTCTTAAATTATTTTAAATTAATGTTTTCATTTTAATTAAGATCAATAATAATTAAAAAAAATTATAATAAAAAAATGATATATATTAATAATAAAAGATATATTGACAAAAATTGTAATAAAAACAATATAATATTATGATAGAAATAACAATATGATTATAGTAATAATAAAAATGATAAAATATTTAATAAACAATTATTATTATTATTATTATTATTTTAATAACTTAAATAATATTAATGATTGTAATAATTATTACAATGATAATATTTAAGAATGTATGCAATGAAAATGACAATAAAGCTGTATAAAAAATGGTTATGTGATGGTTATTTTATTTTGTCTATTTATGAAATGGATCTTTTAAATAGAATAATGTGAAATGAAAAATAATACATATATATAATTAAATTTATTAATTATCTTAACGTTATGAGAAATTGAATTAGATAACGGATGAGATATCTCTTTTAAGACATTAGATGAGTATCATAAATAGAGATAACAAAATTTTAATAATTATTCAGATATTTGATACTTTCTATACTCATGATTAATTTTTTTTTTTTCATTTTATCAGAGAGAGTTTTTCAGAAGGTTTTCCCTCCTCTTCGACACCTATTGAACAACTCAAAAACCGTGTAATAGAATTTAATAAACCTCTCAATTTTGATATTAACACTAATACTTAAATTTATTAAATTAAAATAAATATCCACTAATTTTATTAAATCATAGATGCTGTTACTTAAAGAAGTATAATTAAATTATTAAGTACATATATAAGACAATTTATGAAAAAATTGATATGTTTTTCAAATATTATTAAATAACAAAAAAATCATTATACTAAAAAACATTACAAATAATTTGTAGTATTTATGATTTTAAAATAATAATTGTTTTATAACTAAATTTTTAAAGTAAATTTAGCTAGTATTTATACTTTTGTTATAATCCCCTAATTAATTATTTTTTAATACAAATCAGCTACTTACATTTTCGTTTTTTTTTTGTAATTTTAGTATAATTAAAACTTTTTTTAATAGAGCAAAGAAAATGTTTTATCATTAGTACAATTTTAAATTCAGATCTAATATAATAAATAAAAAATAAAATTTATTTCACAATACAAAATTCATAATAATAATAATAATTATAGTTGTGCTCAATAACAATTGGCATAAACTTTCTCAATAGTGTCTTCCTACAATGATTAGAGGTTTTAATAACATGGCATGGAGTCTAATAGGATGATGTGATAATTAATTATAACTTTAAAAGCTATGATTATGCCTCAGAATAAAAAAATCAATTTTTTTCTCCTAGGACCATGGCACTGTTGTTAGACCAAGCATAACTCCATTATGCATGACTCAATTTTAAATTTACATTTTTTTAATATATATATATATATATATATATATATATATATATATATATATATATATATATATATATACAGAGAAAATAAACAATTCCAGATTAAGACGATATCATTTTCTGAGAGATATCACAGGATTTTGAGAATGTGATTATTTTTCTCTAACATTTTTTTATTTTTCTTTCCGTGTGTTTTTGTGTTGGTGGAGAAAGAATACTTCATAGGAAAGAACCATGTCTCTTAATTTCGGAATAGTTCATTTGGCATTATTTACTTTGCAAGATGGTGTTCAACACTGTGAAATACTCAATTATGCCTTAGCCTTTTTCAAACAAAGGACAAAAGTCCTATTAATGTATGGACCATGACCTACATCTAGAATTGGACCTATCATTATCATCATCATTTTGTTCTTTTCCTTCCCACTGCGTAGCTACAACTACAAAGTGTTTTTCCCAATGCAAGATGAAGGAAACATGTGTTGGATTTAACTAAACACTTATTTTCTTTTTAGAAAACATTCTTTTGTTACTATAATTTAAATTATAAAGTAATCATATAACACTTAAAAAATTATACATTTAACTAAAAATATATGATATATTTTCTAATTTGTTATTTTGATATATTTATTTAAATAATAATCTATTAATAAACTCACGGTCAACTTAAAATAAAGTAAACAAATATTATTATGTGAGGTACTGGTAACAGGTTTTGAATAAAAACTGTGAATGTTATGATGAACACATAGTTTCTCTGAGAGAGGAATATTAATAAAGCTTCCTGGTTCCTGGTGAAGAAACATTGAATGAGAAAAGTAGGAATAAGATCAGTGCATATGTTGTTAGGATTATGATGTCTGGTTTGAGTTGATTGTGTCATGGGAAGGAAACATTGGATTAAGATGAGAAAATGGTGATAATGTAATAAATCAGTGGTGGGAACAGATAAGATTGTGAAGAAACATCATATTAATTTTTTCCCAAAAAATAAACAAGATATTGTGAGACCTACCTGCGCTTGTCACCAACATCATGTGTGGTGCTCCTTTCATTGCCATTCACATATCACCACATCATACAATTTTATACCAGTCAACTTTCTTATCCTTATTATATGTACTACCAATATTCCACTTCATCCTAAATAGGAGTTAAAGGTGCTTTTTAACCAACATTTTGGAATCAAATGAACTTTATGCAAAATCAAAATCAATTTATAATTTTAACAATAGATATGAGCGTAGCTTCTTGGAATTAAAGATGGAATTGTGAAAATTTTGTGTAATTCTTATATAATTTATAATTTTAATTTTTTTAAATTTAATAAATATTTAATATATTTAATTTATGATTTTGTCTTCTTTAATTTTAGTGATCATTTAATATATTTAAATATATATTTACAATTTTATCTTTATCATTTCATTTTTATATTTATTTATTATTTATTAATAATATATTATTTAGCCCTAATACCAATCGTCAATATCGCAATATTACAAATTAAAAAAACTAAATTATTGGTTTGTGGTGGATAAATATATAAATAAGAATCTCTAGATATTTTGTTTGAATATTAAAAACAGTGAGATTTATCGTTAGTAATTTGATGGGTTGTTTCTAAATGTTAAGTAATTTGCATTATGAATAGCTGTGATAGCCTGATTGGATGAACAAAACAGCATTATTAATGGTTGAGGGAGGGGAAAACGTTGAACCAATTGCAATATGCCAATACGTTCCAAGGGTTTCACGGGTCGTAAAACACGTGGATTGAATAGCTGGTTGGTTGTTAAGAAGATTGAGAAAAATAATGTATTTTGGAGGTCAAGTAAGTAGCAACATGTGATTTAGCTACCAAAACTATTCAAATAAAATAACTCAAAAGAATTCGTGAATTCAAATGAGTTTTGTTTGGGACTAAAAAAGTGAAGAGTGGTGTTTATCGTGAACAGTTCAGGCCCAAGGTCAAACCATTTCATTTCTATTTGTATATAGTTTTAAAAGTTAAACCAAATCTTGTGCTTTTGGTAATACAGAAATGAAGAGGAAGGCTAAGCCACAAAAATGTTTGGTGAGTGCATCACCAATTCATATCAATTCTTAGTTGTTATCATCTTTCAAACTTACAATTTATTCATTTTTTATATTATATATTTTTCTTATTTGCTCTCCTTATTCCTTTTTTATAAGAGTTTTTGTTGGGGTGCCCATAAATTCTTCCATTTGTAGCCACAATTTGGAACCAGAATAAGGAAAAAGGGGCAACGTGAGCATTACAAACCACATTTGAACTTAACCTGGTCATCCTTTTCTTTCTCTCTCCCCATGGCCATAGCACTGGCATTTACTAAAAATGTAACAAAATTAAATTTGATACACATGGTGTGATAAACGATGCATTAAAAGGTGGGAATATACCCATCTGTCACGCCTTTAAGAAGCAAAGTTAGGGACACGGGGGACCACACTTTCACACGCCAAAAACTAAAACAATGGGTGACTCAACTCAGGATATGGATATGTCTTCAATTTTAGTCCTTATCCTCTTCAAGTAAGAGAAGAACTAAGAAACTGAAGGCTATTAAGTTTGCACGGTATAACGTTACCTGATAGTCACAAATTTTAGGATAGTGTTATAACTTATCAACTTAAATAAACAATCACAATATCCAATTCTTCATTGCTATCCTATAAATAACACCACCCATCACCCAATATACATATATTTTATCGGTTGAATACAACTACCCCGATCGATCGAATGATATCATTTGCTATCAGATCTGTCAGATTATATATACAGATATAACCTTCCTCAATGAAGCCCTATTCCACTTCATAAGCAGATCTTCTTCATCTTAGTTTCTTCTCTTTTTCTTCGCCCACAACACTGTTGAGAAGGAAAAGCAAATCTTTGGGAAATGAACGTGAAGGGAATCATGGATGGTAATAATCTTGGAGCTGGAAACACCAATTGGGTTGCCAAGCAAGATGCCAATGATGATGATGATATAAGCGACTCGATATCCATTGGATCAACCACGGAAGACTCAATGAACTCTGTGTGTTCATCTTCATCATCAGATTTGGCTGAGGAGGCATCATCCTCTTCAACATCTTATTTGTCAACCTCCTTCTCATCTTCCTTATCTCATTCAAACGGCCCTTTGTTTGGACTATCAGAGCTAATGAATCAACTTCCCTTAAAGTAAGCAATTAATTTCACGCAGGATGCATGCCTCTTTTCTTCTTTTTTCTTCAACTATTATTCAATTCCCTTGTTTGGAAAAGTTATGAGTTGGTGTAAGTTGGTGAGTTTATTTGAAAGTGCAGGAGAGGGTTGTCCATGTTTTATGAAGGGAAGGCTCAGTCTTTCAGTTCTCTAGCTAGCGTGGAGAGCATAGAAGATCTTGTGAAGAAAGAGAGACCTTACAGGAAGAAAATGAAATCATGCAAAAGCTTCGGGGGAGGGTTGGATAATCACAGAATATCGTTCACTCCAAAGGCTACAATTTCAAAGAAAGCTTCTAGTGGAACTTTTGTATCTGTGCTAACCAAAAGAGGGAGTTTCCTTGGAGGATCCAGAACTTCCTTTGCTGTACACAAGAACTTCTGAAATCCAACTTTGTCAATTAGAGATTGGTTATTATTTCATGCACAAAATGGGGAAAATTTTGAATCCCTCACCTTCACCTTATTTTCTTACATTGTAGTCATATTGTTAATTGTTAGTTAATTAATTAATACACATATGATACATTGGAAGTACTTTGTTTTTTCATGACTCTAGGATTTGAGCTTAAACATAATAATTAATCAATATATCCCAGGTTTATTATTTAGTTGTTTGTGCTAATCACTTTCAATATATATATATATATATATATATATATATATATATATATATATATATATATATATCTCGTCACATAGTTGAAGCAAGAACGTAGCATTAGCATGGGAAGTTGCCATACCAGCTAAGCTGATAGATAGGTAAATAACCAGCAGCAGTACAACTGCCATCAACACTCTATTTATCTTTTGTTTGTTTATGTGACGAAGAAGATGAGAAAATAACGGGTATGAAAAAACAAAGCATTATAATTATAGTTGTATATATACTTTCTCTTTAATTCCATTCACTATACTTTTATTTTCTAGTTCTCTCATCTTTTTCTATCATGCTACTTAATCACTAGATTTCGCTCATGCTTTGTTTATTTTCTTCTTATCTTTGTTTTCTACAATTAATAGAGTGTCACTATTCTTGAAAAATGAAAAACATATATATGAAAAATTCAACACCAAGTTAAATGTTAGGATTAAGGGGTAGAGATTTGTTAAGGATATTGATGGTGATTTGGAAAAGAGGAATTTAGAAGTGCTTGGAAAAGAACATGACAGGTTTTAGCACTAGTATTTATTATTTAATTTAATATATTTGATATAAATAACAATTATCTTAATAAACGGGAATCTTACATCTACGAATTAATAATTGGATGCGTGAACATAAAAAATTAAAATATGTGATCATCTTGCAAATTAACAACTTTGAATATAGTTAGCTTTAATTGGATTCAATCACTTAAAAAATCTAATCTGAATTGCTTGATTTAGTCAAATTTAATTCCTGGATTATTTAAACCCTTATAAATATCCTAAGAAACATATCCAAATTTTCAATTTTTTCTCTTTATTAATTATTTTTTTATATATTTCTTGACCAATTAGTATTCTTATTTTGAATAAAAAGATATACTTCTTTTATATACAAAATTTATAGTTATATATACCTAGTCACTTTTTTATTTTATTTTTATGAAATAGCATTCCTCTATTAATAAATTTAACCATAAATATATTTAATTTTTAAGTACTATATATAAATATGTATAAATCAAATAAAAATCATAGAATTTTAATTTTTATAAAATTTACATTTTTAAAAAATTGTTAATTTTTAGTTACCATATTTTTTTCTTAAAACAAAATAATGCATATCATTATTTAATAAATAGCGAGAAGTAATATTTATAAGAACTGAAATTAACTAAAATAAAAGAAAATGGTGTTAGTGAATAATACTCTTGACAATTATATATTATTATTATTAAGCAAATCTTTTTATTATTTAACGTGAAATCACTTATTCACACTTACATTTTGAATAAAAAATTTATGGTATATTCACCATAAAAGTGAATTTAACATCATGTCCAATTAAATCCTAAGACATAAGCAATGTTTTATGTTTTTATTTTTTTAATTTATAATGGGAGATTTCTAACTCGTATGTTTGCATTCAACAAGACTAATACAATTCCTTATAATAAAAAAAACTAATTAATACGAGAATAATCAAGATTTTATTTGAGTAAAAATACATTAAATCCTAAGATTAAATAGAAAATAAAACTAACATAAAAAAAATATAAAGTTCAAAGAATGAAAACATTAGTTTTCCTAAAATTAAAAATTTATTAACTTAATTAGTCACTTCTACTTGGTATACTTTAGTAAAAATATACTTAAAATTCAATGATAATGTAGACTTTTAGTGAAAATAGAACATGGTATGGTATGAATACAAGCGTCCATTATCGTACAACCCAGCGTCTAAGGTACGTATTTATAAAGTGGGTTTACCTTTTTTATAATCTCATTATGTTCTTCTTTGATTATTTGTCAAACATTTATGCTTATCTTTTTAATTTTTGCCATTTCATTTGGCTAATATGGGTCTGGATTCCACTTTAAAAAACAAAAGTTGTTTTTCTCCCGTCGTATTCATTTGGCATGGAATTGTAAGGTTGCTGCACGTCTAAAAGATATTAGGATTAGTGACAAAAGGATAACTAAAACAATGTGATGATGAAAAATAAAACTTCAATTCTTATTTCATGTAAATATCTTTTAATATATATATATATATATATATATATATATATATATATATATATATATATATATATATATATATATTATAAGTAAAGATACAAAAGTAAATAAATATTTTTTAAAACTGTATCTAAAACATGTGACACCGCATTCTATTTGTTCCTTTTAAAATTGCTAAGAAAACAAGTCTTTTCTTTTTCAACATGATGGTCTTATAATTTTGTTAGAAGAAAAAGTCTCACATTGTGGATAAATAATATAATGAATGATAATATTTATAATGAATTTAAAATCCATGATATTTTGACAATCCAATAAAAAACATTTTAAATTTATATTTAATTTTTCTTATATTTTTGTAGTAGAATATTGTGAGATTTGATTTATATTTTTTCTTTGGAGAGTGTAGGTGTATTTGGATTCAAAAGGCTTGATATAGTATTCTATGTATTGTAAAAAATTTTACATAGTATTATTTTTTAATTATCATTAGATAATTGTCGTAGTTTTTTTTCGCTTTTGGAGTTTTCACGTTATACTCTTTTATTGATTGTTTTTCTTTTATTTCTCTATTAGTAGAGTAATTCTCAGGGATATGATTCATTAGGATATTTTTAGTATGTTTTGTGGTAGTAGTTTAGTCTGATCTTTCAACAAGAAAATATTAATTTGCAATGTTATTTGCAAGTGTTGTCAAATGAAAAATTTCTGACATGAAGTTAAGTATCCTCATGGCATAATCGTGCTATTATGGACAAGGATGAGTTTTTTGCTAATGGTGATTATGCAAGAACATTGACTAATATTAATACAGAGTTTGTGATAATTATACACAAACATTGGTTAACATTGATAAAGATGTGCACTGAAAGAAAATTCTTAAAATTGTTTAATTTCAAGTGAGTATACTCTTTATAGTGAAATATGAATTATTGCTAGTGTAGACAATGAAGATAAAAAGGAAGATGTATTTATTTTAATCATGGTGGAGATTGTTAGGTTGATAAAAATAATACATCTTAAAAATTTCTACATCATATTGGGTAAGTAATGGAATAGATGATAGTAGCTATATAATGAGCTTAAAATCCATGATATTTTGACACTCCGGTAAAAAATACTATAAACTTGTATTTAACTTTTCTTATATTCTTGTATTAAAGTATTTTGAGGTTTGATTTAAATTCTTACTTTGGAGAGTGTGAGTGTATTTGGGGTCAAAAGATATAAGAGTGTAATCTATATGTTGTAAAATTGTAAAATTTTTCACATAATATTATTCTCTCGATTATCATTAGATAACAATCACTACTAAAAATTCTCATTTTTCATGGGAATATTTTTGCAAAGTTTTTGTAAAAATTGCAAGAAATAAAATTTTCTATAAATTTAAACAATTTTTTGTAAGAAAATTGGCAGAAAAAAAAAATAATTTTCTAGTAGTGAGTTATGTGTTTTTTCTCTAATTTTGGAGTTACCACTTTATATTCGTGTATTAATTGTTCTTCTCTTATTTATCTATTTGTAGTATAATTTTCAGAGATAAAGATGATAATGTTCTTCAGTACGATTTTTTCCATCAATTGATTTTGCTTAACTTCATTTTTTTCTTTTCATAAGTGTCCAAATGCATGTGTTATTAGAATCAATATGATAGTAGATGTTCTTTCACTTTCTAATCTTGTAACACATGAAATAAAAATATAGGTCTTGCAATGTTATAATAGCTCACACCAAATGCATTTCTCACTGCTAATGCCACTCTTTGTGTCTGTTGCCAAATCAAAGTGTCACGACCATGTATCTATAAATGGATATACATAGATATAAATAGGATATTCCATACAATTCAATTAAGATATTGTATAAAAGTATGATTTCTTTGTTTTTTTTTATTATTTCAAAAAGATTTTGAAATTGGATAAGTTTAAATAAGAGAAGGATGTTTGAGCTTTATGAAAGTTTCATTCATCACAATATTAAGAGAGCATGATGTATATAAAGTATTAGTAACCTTGATTCTTAAATGATGTAAGAACATAGCACCCCAGATATTATGCTTTTGGTCCCATAGGGTGGACACGAATGTTTTTGTATAAGTTAGAATGACAAAACCAACTAGCCTCGCCTCGATTTTGTCTTCCTCGACCCTAGCCCACCATAGTTAAGACGAGTCACAAACTCCAAATCGTCTTGTCAAAAGACTGGCTGGTGGGTCAACCTATTAATAATATTTTTTATATGTATTTTTTTGAAATATATATATTTAATTATATATTTTTTTAAATGTTTATTTATTAATTAATATTTTTATTAAATAAATTTAAAAATATTATAATTATATGTCAAAATAACTTATTATAATTAATAATTAATTAATTTTTATAATTTAAATTATAATATATTTACATATGACAAAAAAATATAATATTTTTAATTATAATTCTTTTTATTTTAATTTTGATATATAAATATTTTTTTAAAGTCGGTAAGCTCGCCCCACTTCATCTTTGGTCCGCCAAGTTGGTGAGTTAAGGTGACATACCAAAAGGAGCTGGCAAGTTGAAACCACCAACTTGTCCTGTCATTTTTTAGGTGGACTGATCCGACGGTCTAATTCATTTTGTCATCTCTATGTATAAGAATAAAAGAGTGTCACAGTCTCATGTAAGTTATAATAGTATCTTTAAGATAAATTTTTATATTTAAGATATT